TATGATTGAATGTGGTGGAAATGCTAACCGAATCTTAGAGACTATAGTTAGTGTAAAAGATGTTTCTTCTGGTTATGCCTGACATGGATTTTTTTACATTAGGATGGGCGAATAAGCTACGAAGAGTTTGCGGCAATGATGAAAACAGGAACCGATTGGAGAAAGGCATCTCGTCATTATTCGAGAGGGAGATTCAATAGCCTAAGCATCAAGCTAATGAAGGACGGATCTTTGAACCTAGGCAACGAGTAGCGAACAAAGTGAAGAAGCCTCGCATTAGGGTTTTTAGAGTTTGTCTCTCGCGTCACGTCCTCGTTTCACGTCAAGTATTATTAACCCAAGAGAAGGGTAAACATCTCAGGACTCAGAATTCAATCTCTTTGTACATCTTTCGTTTTTTGGTGATTATGTTATTTGTGTTCTTTTTTTCATTGGTTTGTGGGCTGAGTTGTGTTTATTTAGTTTGTTGTGTTAGAAACTCAAAAGACTTATCAATGTTTGATGTGTAGAAGAAGAAAAAAAACAAAAGACCTTTCTGGTACTATGATGTTGTAATATTCTTGTCTTTCTCAATCTCTTCAATGATATGAATCATTCACAACCCTATTTGTTTTTCCTTATTTTAAAGCTAAAAACCATAACTAGAGTTGGGATTATGAGTTTAATTAAACTTAGTATTGCTTGTTTTATAATCAAAAAGTATTGAGTCAAATAAACAGAACATAATCTAAACTTAGAGTACATTATCTCAAGCATTTTTTATAGAGAGAATCAACTATACATATATCATGATGCTGATTTCAAACTAGACATGAAAGCTACCTAGTACCTACTTTCCTAGTCCCAACTCTTAAAGCATCAACATCAGTGATTACACCAGCAAATCTAGCATTATTGACCCGCAAAACAATCGAAAGGATCAATCAACGTTTCACTAAACAATCGAAGATCTGGAATGATCTTAACCAACTCCATTGTGTCATAATGAGCCTTTCTTTATTGGAGATAAATCACCCATCTAATAGGAACAAGTTAAACGCAAAAAGGCATTTGTTTTCTTTTCAAAAGTTGATAGTAGCATCCTTGTGCAGTCCTTTTCAACAAGATTTAAAGCTTTAAAAAATTAAAATCTAAAACAGTTCAAGAGTTTTACTAATCACGCCAAGATATCGATGTTTTCCAAATTGTGTTTTCACAAACTTGTAGAGAGATTTGGTACTTGCAAAAACAGGCGCATCGAGCCGGTGAAAGACAATGTTTTGATCAGAAAACCCCTTGGTTACAACTTCAAGTCCCAATCCCTCTGTTTGCTCCGGTAACTACATCATAACCCCCACGGACAAAAACAAATGAGAACCCAAATCACTAGTTTATTGGATTGGATATTTGCATTGATTTTGAAATCTACTGTAGTTATAACCTTGTGTTGCATGTAGTCTATATATAGTCTGTCATATTATCATCGACATATCACTATCCAATTTTAAATCCGGTAAAATGGTTGTTGTTGAAAGAAAATTACTTATGTTATTCACTAGTGATTTAATATTAAATTTAAACTAGATTAAAATATTTGAAAATAAAAAAATTATAATTTTTTTAATAATATATGAAAAAAATTAAAAACAAAAATATCAAATGGTATATTTTCAATATAGATAAATATATTTTATCTTACAAATTTTAACCATCATGACACTTAGATTGAATGTAAGCGCTTTTAATGTAATCTAAATACGTATGAGATTATGGGGTTTCACAAACTCATTTTTGAGCTCACCAAATCCAAAAAATATGTAAATTTTCTTATATAAAAACTCAAAGAAAGAATAAAAGGTGAAATGATGATTTTCAAAATTCAACCATTAATGTTTGATTTGTTAAATTGTACGTTTATAACAAAAGTGTAACTTCAATTAAAATAATATAGATACAATTAAACGATATAAAAAAAAAATTGTATAATCAATCACATATGGTATCCAAATAGACATAAATATAATCTTTTATAAAGAAATTAACATAGGTAAATGATTCATCGTTAAAACATTGTTATATAATATTTAAATATTTAAAATTTAAAAATGTTATATTTTAGCTAGATTTGAGTTAGTAACATATGTATTTGTGAGTTTATGTTAAAAAATTATGTAAATAACTATGTAGAGATTTTCAGCATGACATATTGAATTAATTAGAATTTTTTGATTGGTTAATTTAATTGATGTATCCCTTCACATCCTCATTGAGTGACACATTTGATTTTTTTTTTTAATTTAGTGTCTGCTCGATTAATATATAGAGAGGATAAGTGTGTTTCAAAATTATAAATTAAATTTTGATTATTTTCAATTTTTGGTTTTGAAATACAAGCTCAAAATCTTGGAGGCCTTTTTTGGGTGCAAATCATACTTGGAAATCAATGATAAAATCT